GGAGTGGGGGGGAGTGGGGGAGAGTGAGGGGAGTGGGGGGGAGTGGGGGGGAGTGAGGGGAGTGAGGGGAGTGGGGGGAGTGGGGGAGTGAGGGGAGTGGGGGGTGATGGGGGGGAGTGAGAGGAGTGAGGGGAGTGGGGGGAGTGGGGAGTGGGGGGAGTGGGGGGTGATGGGGGGGAGTGAGGGGAATGGGGGGGAGTGGGGGGGAGTGGGGGGAGTGGGGGGGAGTTGGGGGTTGTGGGGGGGAGTGAGGGGAGTGGGGGGGAGTGGGGGAGTGAGGGGAGTGAGGGGAGTGAGGGGAGTGGGGGGAGTGAGGAGAGTGAGGGGAATGGGGGGGAGTGAGGGGAGTGAGGGGAGTGGGGGGGGAGTGAGGGGAGTGGGGGGGAATGGGGGGAGTGGGGGGAGTGGGGGGGAGTGGGGGAGAGTGAGGGGAGTGGGGGGGAGTGGGGGGGAGTGAGGGGAGTGAGGGGAGTGAGGGGAGTGGGGGGAGTGAGGGGAGTAAGGGGAATGGGGGGAGTGGGGGGGAGTGGGGGGGAGTGGGGGGGGAGTGGGGGGCAGTGAGGGGAGTGAGGGGAATGGGGGGGAGTGGGGGGGAGTGGGGGGGGAGTGGGGGAGAGTGAGGGGAGTGGGGGGGGAGTGAGGGGAAGTGGGGGGGAATGGGGGGGAGTGGGGGGAGTGGGGGGAGTGGGGGGGAGTGAGGGGCATGGGGGGGAGTGGGGGGGAGGGGGGGCGAGTGGGGGGGAGTTGGGGGGTTGTGGGGGGAGTGAGGGGAGTGGGGGGGAGGGGGGTAGTGCTGGGACTGGGGGGGGAGTGGGTGGGAGTGGGGGGGAGGGGGGGGAAGTTGGGGGGGGGAGTGGGGGGGGGATGTGGGGGCGGGAGTGAGGGGAGCTGAGTGAGGGAATGGGGGGAGTGGGGGGTAGGGGGGGAGAGTGGGGGGATTTGGGGGTTGTGGGGGGGAGGTGAGGGGAGAGTGGGGGGATGGGGGGGCGAGTGAGGGGATGGGGGGGAGTGAGGTGAGGGGAATGGGGGGGAGTGGGGGGGAGGGGGGGAGTGGGGGGAGTGGGGGGGTGTGGGGGGGGAGTGAGGGGAGTGAGGGGAATGGGGGGGAGGGGGGGGAGTGTGGGGGAGTTGGGGTTGTGGGGGGAGTGAGGGGAGTGGGGGGGAGGGGGGGAGTGAGGGGAATGGGGGGGAGTGGGGGGGAGTGGGGGGAGTGGGGGGGAGTGGGGGGGAGTGGGGGGGGAGTGAGGGGAGTGAGGGGAATGGGGGGGAGTGGGGGGAGTGGGGGGGAGAGGGGGGAGTGGGGGGAGTTGGGGGTTGTGGGGGGGAGTGAGGGGAGTGGGGGGGAGGGGGGGAGTGAGGGGAGTGGGGGGGGAGTGAGGAGAATGGGGGGAGTGGGGGGGAGGGGGGGAGTGGGGGGAGTGGGGGGGGAGTGAGGGGAGTGAGGGGAATGGGGGGGAGTGGGGGGAGTTGTGGGTTGTGGGGGGGAGTGAGGGGAGTGGGGGGGAGGGGGGGAGTGAGGGGAGTGGGGGGAGGGGGGGAATGGGGGGGAGTGAGGGGATGGGGGGGGAGTGAGGGGAGTGAGGGGAATGGGGGGGATTGAGGGGAGTGAGGAGAGTGGGGGGGGGGGGGAGTGAGGAGAGTGGGGGGGGGGGAATGGGGGGGAGTGGGGGGGAGGGGGGGAGTGGGGGGGAGTTGGGGGTTGTGGGGGGGAGTGAGGGGAGTGGGGGGGAGTGCGGGGAATGGGGGGGAGTGGGGGGGAGGGGGGGAGTGGGGGGAGTGGGGGGGGAGTGGGGGGGGAGTGAGGGGAGTGAGGGGAATGGGGGGGAGTGGGGGGGAGGGGGGGAGTGGGGGGGAGTTGGGGGTTGTGGGAGGGAGTGAGGGGAGTGGGGGGGAGGGGGGGAGTGAGGGGAGTGGGGGGGAGTGAGGGGAATGGGGGGGAGTGGGGGGGAGTGGGGGGGAGGGGGGGAGTGGGGGGAGTGGGGGGGGAGTGGGGGGGAGTGAGGGGAGTGAGGGGAATGGGGGGGAGGGGGGGAGTGGGGGGGAGTTGGGGGTTGTGGGGGGGAGTGAGGGGAGTGGGGGGGAGGGGGGGAGTGAGGGGAATGGGGGGGAGTGGGGGGGAGGCGGGAGTGGGGGGAGTGGGGGGGGAGTGAGGGGAGTGAGGGAATGGGGGGAGTGGGGGGGAGTTGGGGGTTGTGGGGGGGAGTGAGGGGAGTGGGGGGGAGGGGGGGAGTGAGGGGAGTGGGGGGGAGGGGGGGGAATGGGGGGGAGTGAGGGGAGTGGGGGGGAGTGAGGGGAGTGAGGGGAATGGGGGGGATTGAGGGGAGTGAGGAGAGTGGGGGGGGGGGGGGGGGAGTGAGGAGAGTGGGGGGGGGGGAATGGGGGGGAGGTGGGGGGAGGGGGGGAGTGGGGGGAGTTGGGGGTTGTGGGGGGGAGTGAGGGGAGTGGGGGGGAGGGGGGGAGTGCGGGGGAATGGGGGGGAGTGGGGGGGAGTGGGGGGGAGGGGGGGAGTGGGGGAGTGGGTGGGGAGTGGGGGGGGAGTGAGGGGAGTGAGGGGAATGGGGAGAGTGGGGGGGAGGGGGGGAGTGGGGGGGAGTTGGGGGTTGTGGGGGGGAGTGAGGGGAGTGGGGGGGAGGGGGGGAGTGAGGGGAGTGGGGGGGAGTGAGGGGAATGGGGGGGAGTGGGGGGGAGTGGGGGGGAGGGGGGGAGTGGGGGGAGTGGGGGGGGAGTGGGGGGGGAGTGAGGGGAGTGAGGGGAATGGGGGGAGGGGGGGAGTGGGGGGGAGTTGGGGGTTGTGGGGGGGAGTGAGGGGAGTGGGGGGGAGGGGGGGAGTGAGGGGAATGGGGGGGAGTGGGGGGGAGGCGGGAGTGGGGGGAGTGGGGGGGGAGTGAGGGGAGTGAGGGGAATGGGGGGAGTGGGGGGGAGAGGGGGGAGTGGGGGGGAGTGGGGGTTGTGGGGGGGAGTGAGGGAGTGGGGGGGAGGGGGGGGAGTGAGGGAGTGGGGGGGAGTGAGGGGAATGGGGGGGAGTGGGGGGGAGGGGGGGAGTGGGGGAGTGGGGGGGGGAGTGGGGGGGGAGTGAGGGGAGTGAGGGGAATGGGGGGGAGTGGGGGGGAGTTGGGGGTTGTGGGGGGGAGTGAGGGGAGTGGGGGGGAGGGGGGGAGTGAGGGGAGTGGGGAGGAGGGGGGGGAATGGGGGGGAGTGAGGGGAGTGGGGGGGGAGTGAGGGGAGTGAGGGGAATGGGGGGGATTGAGGGGAGTGAGGAGAGTGGGGGGGGGGGAGTGAGGAGAGTGGGGGGGGGGGGGATTGAGCAGAGTGGGGGAGAGTGGAGGGGAGTGGGGGGAGTGAGGGGAGTGAGGGGAATGGTGGGAGTGAGGGGAGTGGGGGGGAGTGAGGGGGAGTAGGGGGATTGGGGGGGAGTGGGGGGAGGGGGGGAAGTGGGGGGAAGTGGCGGGGGGAGTGTGGTGGGAGGGGGGGAGAGGGGGGGAGTGGGGGGAGGGGGGGAAGTGGGGGGAAGTGGGGGGGAGTGGGGGAGAGGAGGGGAGTGGGAGGGAGTGGGGGGGAGTGGGGGAAGTGGGGGGAAGTGGGGGGAAGTGGGGGGAAGAGGGGGGAGAGGGGGGGAGAGGGGGGGAGTGGGAGGGAGTGGGGGGGAGTGGGGGAAGTGGGGGGAAGTGGGGGGGAGTGGGGGAGAGGGGGGGAGTGGGAGGGAGTGGGGGGGAGTGGGGGAAGTGGGGGGAAGTGGGGGGAAGAGGGGGGAGAGGGGGGGAGAGGGGGGGAGAGAGGGGGAGTGGGGGGGGAGTGGGGGAGGGGAGGGAGTGAGGGGAGAGGGGGGGAAGTGGGGGGGAGGGGGGGGAGTAGGGGGGGAATTGAGGGGAGGGGTCTCCGTGGCCGCGCGAGTGGCGGTTTCTTTTTTGTTCCCTCAGAGCCGAGCGCGCGCCAATTCTCCTCACGCGAGGCGTTAAGATTACAAAGTTTTTTTAAAAGTTATTATTTACATCTTCTTGGTTCTTTCGGTAAAGTCACGTAGAAGGGAAATACTAAAATAATAAAATAAAACTTCGTCAATATAATCAATGTACTCAATATATTCTCCAATAAGCTGAGCTATTAACATAAAGTAACTGGGTATACACTACACTATATAATGAATACCATATAGTAAACTGATAAAAAAAACTAAAATATAAACTACATCAAAATTATCAATAAACTCAATATACTCACCAATCAGCTGAGCTACTAACAATAAGTCATTATACATTACAATTCTACGTCGAAAAATATATTATTTACAGTTGTATCGTTTACAGCGAAACAGAAATGTTTAAACTATTTTTTTTAAAGCGACCCACTTCTGTGAAAGAAATTAGTTCAATGTCGACACAAAAAAAATCTGAACAGGATAATACTATATATTATTATCGGATAATAATACACAACGGAGAAGCATCGCTGAGGAGAATATAAACAGCAAGACAAGTAAAGTTGTTGTGTCTTACACCCCTCCTCCACCCGACATAGCTCATGAATAATGGTCCATACGTGATTAATAACACACACACACATTTGCCAGTTCATGAGAAACATGCCTCTCGATAATTTATATTATTTTGCTGCTATAATTTTACACGCGATAAGCCACTTTATTGAGCTATCATTTGTGGCCAGGTCGCTTCTAATAGCTCAGTAGGCTTTACTTGGTAAGATAAAAAAAAAATAGTTTTATTTCGTAAATATGTTTCTGTGATATGTTTACCTTTCCTACATTTTGCACTGCTGTTGTGTTTTTGTGCAGTTTGTTGTCACGTTCTGACCCCCTGCCTCCTACTGGACATCTGTGACAAAAGAGCTTGATAGCTCATCGGATTCTCCCTGCAGTGTGAATACATTCTAACTGATGCGTGAGCAGCAGCAGCGGCCATGCTGCACCTGAGTGACGTCATCGCCCTCGACGAGTGGAGCATGCGGCTCCGCACGCCGGTGTGACCCACGTGACGGCGCTGGAGGGTAACGCCCCCCACCTTGACGTCACTCCCTCGCCACTGCTATGTCACTGTGACGTCACTCGCATCACCTTCGTCGTCGAGAGAGACGCACAGCAGCTCGCAGGCAACGATGGCGGATCCCGAGGAGCTACTTAGCCTCTTTTAGAAAATGTTGTTCCACTTCTTCAGCGCTGGAGGAGGAGAAGACCGAGATGTCGTCGGAAATCCCTGCGACAGCTGCCCTTGCGAACTGCCCCCTACCGCCAACTCGAAGGGCCTCGACGCGCTGATGGCCGCGATGGTCACGTTCACGGCGGCGTCCGTGATATTCTTGGCCATCCTCTTTGTCTATGCCCGCAACAGCTACAGTAAGTGTGCCTATAGTCTTCATGCGAGTCCAAACGGGCTCTATGCGAGTCTATGTGTTTCTGTGCAAGTCAGTGGGTCTCTGTGTTTATCTACGTGTCTCTGTGCACGTCTGTAGGTCTCTTTTGTGTGTGTGTGCATCTGTGCATCTCTGTGAGTCTATAGGTTCATGCGTATGCCTATTGGCCTATGTGCTGCGGGTCTGTGTGTGAATCTTCATGTCACTGTGTGTGTCTGTGTCCCTCAGAGCGTATCTATGTGTCTATGTACTTCTATGCGTCTCTGTGTAGGTGAGTCTGTGAGTTTATGTAAGGGTCTATTGGCCTATGGGCATGTCTCTCGGTCTCTTGGCGAGTCGATGGGTCTCTGCAAGTCTCTGTCTCTGTGCGCCTCTATGTGTCTCGTGAGTCTATGGGTCTATATACGTGTCTGTGTGTCTGTATTTATGCATGTGTGATGGGAAGTTGGGGAGATAATGGAGAAGTTTGCTTCCTTGGGCAGTGTGCTCATGACCAACTCCGGGTTGGCAGCCAAGGTGTCACTGAATTAGACGAGCGGCATTATCTTTCCATTAGCTGCATGATGCTGTGTGGAAGATACCTGGTCTGTCGCTCCATACAGAGCTCCGGGTCTTCTCGGCCACAGTTATGACCTCCCTTCTATATCCTTGCGAAACGTGGAGCCCTCTGAAGGAGCGTCAGTGGTGGTGTGAAACATTTAGGCTGGCCTACCAACTATCCATATTGGGTTTAACCAGACCGGATTGTGTGAGGAGCTCACAGATTCTTGAAAGATATTGACAGGGTTCCATCAGTGAGCTCCTAAAGCCAGCGAGGCTGCGTTGGCTGGGTCATAGCCTGCATGCCCAGCTACCGCATGCCCAAGCAGCTTTGATTTGGCTGGATAAATGCTGCTAATTTGGCACGATACAGACTATAGAAGAGATGGAATGATGTGGTATAGAAGGAAGCTGATTTGACTTGCCGATGACTGCTAATAGCAGTCTCAAGATCGGCTTCTTTGGAGGAGGCTCGTGAAGGATATTGCTCGGGAGTTGGAGGCAGTCACCCTCCAGCAACAACGGAGGGCAAAGGAGCGATGCTCGCAATGAGTGGAGTGCTAAAACGCAGAAACTGGCACAATGGCGAGCACAGTTGGTACATTTGCCAGTCAGCCCAGCGCACCTGATTCTGTGCCGGTGACCTGCCAGTGGGCTTTCGACACCTCACGTGGCCTCAATCCGAACCTAGCATGGCACAAGCACCGTATTGACGTCACTGACACTTAGTGGTTGTTGTACACATCTGCGGGTCTCTGTGAGTCAATGAGTCTGTGCCTGTCTCCGGGTCTCTGGGCGTGTTTATGGGCATCTATGAGGATTTTGATTTAAAGCTTTCGTGACTGCAGTAATTCATATTCTTAGTTTTTTCGGTAAAGTCACGTTGAAGAGAAACAACAAAATAACAAAATATATATAAAACAATAAAAAATTCTCACGACGTTTCGACCATAACTCAAACGGTCATCATCAGGTGTGTCGGTTTGCATAAATGTATTTTGAAAACGGCATATTTATTTATTTCTATAAAAATAACGTTTGCGTCACGCGCAACGATTGGCTGTTTGCCAGGACTAGTCCATCTATTTTTTGAAAAGAGGAGGGGGGAGACGAAATTTGTTTTTATGTATGCTGTCTGAAAGCCACTGTAAGCGTGAACAATCAATCAAGAACTGAAATGATTTATCAAATCTTTCCAATGATTGCTAAGATAGAATCCATCTTCTCGGTTGAAATTGTCTCTGTGTTTGTATATGTGGATAGCCTCATGAACGAATCTCTCATGGAAGCCAGATGGCTTACAAAGAACCTCCGTCTTGGAAAAGTCAATGGCATGTGAGCCTACTGAATTAGAACAATGATCTGCTACGGCCGAGGTGTTGGTCCTACCGTGTTTAAGGTCTGCTTTATGTTCACGAATGCGGTCCGAGATATGGCGTTTGGTTTCTCCAATGTAACTACTACCACAGAGGCAACTTAGTTTGTAGACACCAGGGTATTGTATGTCCGGAATCACATCTTTTACAGACGGAACCAGATCACGGATTTTATGTAATGTGTTGAAACGGACCTGGATCTTGTGTTTATTCAAGATTTTGGAGATCTTTTTTGTGATCCCAGCAATGTAGGGTAAAGTGATGGTTTTGAAAGGCTCCTCAAGAGGGTTCTTCTTCATGGTTTGAGTGATAGCTTTGCGGATTGTATAGTCGGAGTAACCATTAGCCCTAAGAGCTTGGTGTACGTGCTTGAGTTCACTGCTTATGTGTTCCTGGTCGGATATGCATTGGGCTCTATGATACAGAGTCTTGATGAGAGAATTCTTCTGTGATGGATGGTGGTGGGAATCCGGTTTCAGATAAGCATCCGTATGGGTAGCTTTCCTGTAGACAGAGTGGCTCATTGAACCATCAGGTCTCTTTTTAATTAGGACATCCAAAAAAGGTATCTTGCCATCTATTTCGACTTCCATGGTAAATCTGATGGCTGGGTGTATGGAATTGATGTGGTCGAAGAATTGGTCTAGAGCAGGCCGGCCATGTGGCCAGATGACAAAAGTGTCATCCACGTACCTCTTCCATAAGGTTGGGCGCAGAGTGGCAGTCTGGATGGCGTCAGTCTCAAATTTCTCCATGAAAATGTTAGCTATAACTGGAGAAAGGGGGGAGCCCATTGGGGTGCCCTCAGTTTGTTTGTAGAAAGTTCCATTCCAAGTGAAGTATGTATTGGTTAAACAGTGTCTCACCAGGGGGGGTACCTCAGTGTTTAGTCCTTGATGAACCAAGTCTTCAATGATTGCAATGGTGTCAGGTACAGGAACCTTGGTGAATAAGGAAACTACATCAAAACTGACAAGCAGGTCGTCTGGGGACAGGGAAATACCCTTGATTGTTGATACCAGGTGAGTAGAATTTTGTACCGCAGAGGTGGTCTTTCCAGTGAAAGGACGCAGGATTTCAGACAAAAAACGAGCTAGTTTGTAGGTGGGGGAGCTGATAGTAGAGACTATGGGACGAAGAGGTGTAGTTTCCTTATTCACCAAGGTTCCTGTACCTGACACCATTGCAATCATTGAAGACTTGGTTCATCAAGGACTAAACACTGAGGTACCCCCCCTGGTGAGACACTGTTTAACCAATACATACTTCACTTGGAATGGAACTTTCTACAAACAAACTGAGGGCACCCCAATGGGCTCCCCCCTTTCTCCAGTTATAGCTAACATTTTCATGGAGAAATTTGAGACTGACGCCATCCAGACTGCCACTCTGCGCCCAACCTTATGGAAGAGGTACGTGGATGACACTTTTGTCATCTGGCCACATGGCCGGCCTGCTCTAGACCAATTCTTCGACCACATCAATTCCATACACCCAGCCATCAGATTTACCATGGAAGTCGAAATAGATGGCAAGATACCTTTTTTGGATGTCCTAATTAAAAGAGACCTGATGGTTCAATGAGCCACTCTGTCTACAGGAAAGCTACCCATACGGATGCTTATCTGAAACCGGATTCCCACCACCATCCATCACAGAAGAATTCTCTCATCAAGACTCTGTATCATAGAGCCCAATGCATATCCGACCAGGAACACATAAGCAGTGAACTCAAGCACGTACACCAAGCTCTTAGGGCTAATGGTTACTCCGACTATACAATCCGCAAAGCTATCACTCAAACCATGAAGAAGAACCCTCTTGAGGAGCCTTTCAAAACCATCACTTTACCCTACATTGCTGGGATCACAAAAAAGATCTCCAAAATCTTGAATAAACACAAGATCCAGGTCCGTTTCAACACATTACATAAAATCCGTGATCTGGTTCCGTCTGTAAAAGATGTGATTCCGGACATACAATACCCTGGTGTCTACAAACTAAGTTGCCTCTGTGGTAGTAGTTACATTGGAGAAACCAAACGCCATATCTCGGACCGCATTCGTGAACATAAAGCAGACCTTAAACACGGTAGGACCAACACCTCGGCCGTAGCAGATCATTGTTCTAATTCAGTAGGCTCACATGCCATTGACTTTTCCAAGACGGAGGTTCTTTGTAAGCCATCTGGCTTCCATGAGAGATTCGTTCATGAGGCTATCCACATATACAAACACAGAGACAATTTCAACCGAGAAGATGGATTCTATCTTAGCAATCATTGGAAAGATTTGATAAATCATTTCAGTTCTTGATTGATTGTTCACGCTTACAGTGGCTTTCAGACAGCATACATAAAAACAAATTTCGTCTCCCCCCTCCTCTTTTCAAAAAATAGATGGACTAGTCCTGGCAAACAGCCAATCGTTGCGCGTGACGCAAACGTTATTTTTATATATATAAATAAATAACTATGCCGTTTTCAAAATACATTTATGCAAACCGACACACCTGATGATGACCGTTTGAGTTATGGTCGAAACGTCGTGAGAATTTTTTATTGTTTTATATATATTTTGTTATTTTGTTGTTTCTCTTCAACGTGACTTTACCGAAAAAACTAAAAATATCTATGAGGATGTTTAGGTATATCTGTGTCCAAGAATGGGAATTGGAAGTAGTGTGGGAACTCATGAAGTAATTCCCCCTCCATCTACCCTACTAGACATGGACTGTACCAACTGAGGCTGAGCACGAGAAGCGGACGCGAACATTGACTCACAAATTAACATGTTTCGCCTGTGTCAGCTGCACGTTCATTTAATATAATAATATAGTTGCATACCTTTTTTACAATTGTGTGCACGTTTATCACCCTCGTCCCGTTTGGGAGATGAATAATATGACGACACTTGATAATTCTATACATAGATATGTAAATAGACTATCTACAACTACACCTGTCCCTGGCTCCATTCAGGAGGATGCAGTTGAGTTCAGATTTTTGCTTCCCTCACTGCGTTATGGCCTCTTTCCACTACTATTCGTCTATGCTTCCTAGAGTGCCATAAACATTCGTTTATGGCACTCTTGACAGACAAAATGTTGCTCATATGACGCCGTAAATCTCATAGCCCATATGGTAAATAAGTTATTTTTGGTGTGACTGACAGGGCCGTACGTTCTAAGCGAGAAAGGTTGACAACATGCGATGATTTGAAGGTTCGTGTCGGGCTGATGTTCACCAAACTGACGATGGTTTCTTTACACCCCAGGATACGAACGACGGGAGAATGCGGAGCTCCTTCTGCTGGTGGAAATGAAGCGTCGCCAGCTCAAGGAACTGAAGACCCAGACGACCTTCCTGAAGAAAGCCACGGCCATGGTGTCCACCAACACGACCACTATCGCCAATGCCACCCCAGCTGCCACATGCAGTATTGCCACTGCCCCTGAGGTTGCTGCTGGGAGGATCATCGCAACCAACACCAACAACACCACCACCCTGGCTGCTGCTGCTGACACGTCATTTACACCCACCAACACACCGGCTGGAGTTGGTAGATCTAGTGCCACATCGGCGGCTGCTGCCGGCAGCTCCAAAGCCGCCACCACAACCTCGGCTGCTCCTGGCAGCTCCAAAGCCGCCACCACAACCTCACATGCTCCTGGCAGCTCCCTCGCCGCCACTTCCACCAACCCAACTGATGCCAGGAGATGCAACGCTGCCACCACGGCTGCTCCTGGCTGCTCCCTCGCCGACACCACTGCCACCCCGGCTGCTGCCGGGAGATGCAATGCTGGCACCCCGACTGTGGCCAGGAGTTCCACCACAATCGACATGGGTGCCACCACACCCCCCAGCCATCGAAAAAACCAAGTTTCACAAATTCCGTAATTTTGTTCGAGAACTTTGCCGGTCGGCTACAACTCGACGGTCTATCACCACAAGGCGTGCGTCTGCAGGCCGATCAACCACTGCCACCCCGACCGACGCCGACAGATTGGATGCTGCCAAGGCCATCCAAGTGGCCAAAAACTATGGACCTTACTATCAATAGGCCCCACTCCCTCCTGATCAGGCATCCTCACTCACTAGGCCCCACTCCCTCCTGGTCAGGCATCCTCACTCCCTAGGCCCCATTCCCTCCTGGTCAGGCATCCTCACTCCCTAGGCCCCACTCCCTCCTGATCAGGCATTGTTACTCACTAGGCCCCACTACCTCCTGGTCAGGCATCCTTACTCCCTAGGCCCCACTCCCTCCTGATCAGGCATCCTCACTCCCTAGGCCCCACTCCCTCCTGGTCAGGCATCCTTACTCACTAGGCCCCACTTCCTCCTGGTCAGGGATCTTTACTCCCTAGGCCCCACTCCCTCCTGGTCAGGTATCCATACTCCCTAGGCCCCACTCCCTCCTGGTCAGGCATCTTTACTCCCTAGGCACCACTCCCTCCTGGTCAGGTATCCATACTCCCTCGGCCCCAATCCATCCTGGTCAGGCATCCTTGCTCCCTAGGCCCCACTCCCTTCTGGTCAGGTATCCATACTCCCTAGGCCCCACTACCTCCTGATCAGGCATCCTTACTCACTAGGCCCCACTCCCTCCTGATCAGGCATCCTTACTCCCTAGGCCCCACTCCTGATCAGGCATCCTTACAAACTAGGCCCCACTCCCTCCTGGTCAGGCATCCTTACTCCCTAGGCCCCACTCCCTCCTGGTCAGGCATCCTTACTCCCTAGGCCCCACTCCCTCCTGATCAGGCATCCTTACTCCCTAGGCCCCAATCCCTCCTGATCAGGCATCCTTGCTGCCTAGGCCCCACTCCCTCCTGGTCAGGCATCCTTACAAACTAGGCCCCACTCCCTCCTGGTCAGGCATCTTAACTCAATAGGCCCTGCTCCTAACTGAAAAGCGGTCCCAATGCCACCACCCACCATTCACCACTACATGACGGTGACATCACCACGATGCCTGTGCCAGGCCAGGTGCACTTTGAGGCCATGTGAAGTGCTCAATGCTCGCTGACAGGAGGTCACAGGACAGACCCAGGTGCCATGGGTTGACTGACTGAAATAAATGGCAGATGCTCCAACTGTGCCCCCTAATGTGTCCCCCTACTGTGGACTGCTGTTCAAATTGTCGATCTTGTTATATGTCAAATCCGTTGATTAAAAACATTGTTATAACTTCAGATTCTTGCCTTAAGTTTAGTCATTACACTTTCCATGTTTTGATTTCAATGTTGGTTTTTTCAAGCCAAAACAAAGGGCGAAATTTTTCTTTTGGGAGGGAATCGCTAAGAGAGGCTGAGCACAACAGTGGCCAAGAAGAACCAGAGCTTCATATGGAGTGATTGGCTACGTAGCTTCCACACAGAGTTGCGCCTCTGGACTAAATACAATAAGACCTCCACTCTCAAATGGGAGCTGGTCATGAGCACACTGCCCAGGTATAGGAATTCCTCCACCCTTTCCACAATTGCCCTATCATGCAGAGTTGAGGTCTGTTCGAGTTCTTAATGACATAAAATATCCGGACAGCTACTGTTGTATTTTGGTGGGGCTAATAAGGCCCAAACTCTCATCGGCACGATCCAGGTTCAGTATCAGTCTCGAACTCGTCGCAGTGAGCAGCCATTGCAAGATCGTCATCACCATCATACAGACCATATGTCGGTCCCTCTCTCTTCAGATCAAGAAAACCCATTCGACGTTGGTGCAGGTGCTGTGGGTAGTGCAGGTAGGGCAGGTGGTGCAGGTGTAGTCCTCACCGCGGCTATCAGCGCCTCTGCCTTCAGCCACAGACTCAACCATAGATCGGCACAGGTGTGATACATCTGACACACACACACACACACCTGTGTGTGTGAGAGATACACGTGATACACACACAGGTACGTGATACACACACGTGTGTGTGTGTGATACACGTGATACGCACACAGGTGTGTGTGTGTGATATACACGTGATACACACGTGTGTGTGATACACGTGATACACACAGGTGTGTGTGTGAGATACACGTGATACACACACAGGTGTGTGTGAGATACACGTGATACACACACAGGTGTGTGTGTGTGATACACGTGATACACACACAGGTGTGTGTGTGAGATACACGTGATACACACACACGTGTGTGTGTGAGATACACGTGATACACACACGTGTGTGTGATACACGTGATACACAGGTGTGTGTGTGTGAGATACACGTGATACACACACACGTGTGTGTGTGAGATACACGTGATACACACACGTGTGTGTGTGTGTGATACACGTGATACACACACAGGTGTGTGTGTGAGATACACGTGATACACAGCTGTGTGTGTGTGAGATTTACGTGATACACACACACACACAAGTGTGTGTTCTACATGTGATACACATATGTGTTTGTGATACCAGTAATACACATGTGTGATGCAGGTGATCTACACAGGTGTGTGATACAGATGATCTGCTCACAAGTGTTTGATACAGGTGATATGCACACAGGTGTGCCTAGTACAGAAGGGGGCAGGAGAGAGGGAGGGAGTGGGGGGGGGCAGCATGCTGCGGGGTGTTTGTCGCGGGAGTGATCCACGGGGATTTGGCGCAGCGGTTCTCAGGATTAGTGCGGCGCTAATTAAGCAACAACCTCTACCCCTACACAACCCCTACACAACTGCTACCCCTGTCACCACACTACCCCAATCTCTACCTCGATTATCACACGACCCCTTTCTCTACCCCTATCACTATCCCTACGTCTACCCATAACTCTACCCTAATGCTAGCGAATGACGGACGGAGAGAGAGGGTCAGGAGAGAGAGAGGGACAGGAGAGAGAGAGGGACAGGAGAGAGAGAGGGACAGGAGAGAGAGAGGGACAGGAGAGAGAGAGGGACAGGAGAGAGAGAGAGAGAGGGACGGGAGAGAGAGGGACAGGAGAGAGAGAGGGACAGGAGAGAGAGAGAGGGACAGGAGAGAGAGAGAGGGACAGGAGAGAGAGAGAGGGACAGGGGAGAGAGAGGGACAGGAGAGAGAGGGACATGAGAGAGAGGGACATGAGAGAGAAAGAGGGACAGGAGAGAGAGGGACAGGAGAGAGAGAGAGGGACAGGAGAGAGAGGGACAGGAGAGAGAGAGAGAGGGACAGGAGAGAGAGGGACAGGAGAGAGAGAGAGGGACAGGAGAGAGAGAGAGGGACAGGAGAGAGAGAGAGGGACAGGAGAGAGAGGGACAGGAGAGAGAGAGGGACAGGAGAGAGAGAGAGAGGGACGGGAGAGAGAGGGACAGGAGAGAGAGAGACAGGAGAGAGAGGGGACAGGAGAGAGAGAGGGACAGGAGAGGGGGTGCGCTCGATGAAAGGCGCTCTGCGAGAGTAAAGAAAGTCGCTAGCAGCGAGAGAAGAGAGGGGGAGAGTCCGTGCATGGGAGGGCAGAGGGGTGAGTAGAGCAGAGTTGAGACAGAGGAGAGGGGGGAGTGGAGAGGAAGGGGTGGGAGAGGTGAGAGAGGGGAGAGGGGGGAGTGGAGGGAAGAGTGGAGGGGAGAGCGACAGACGGAGGCAAGGGAGGTTACAGGGAGAGGGCACGGAGATAGACCGTGGATGGGACTCCTCTACGGAGCGCTAAGTACACACACGGGCATAGACACACAGACACATACAGACACACAGACACACACAGACACACATAGACACACACAAACATACACAGACACACACAGACACATAGACACACAGACACATAGACACACACAGACACACAGACACACACAAACACACACACAGACACACACAGACAGACACACACATAGACACACACAGACACATTGACATACACAGAAACACAGACACATAGACACACACACAGACAGACACAGACACACACAGACACAGACACACACAGACACACACACAGACACATAGACACAGACAGACACAGACACACACAGACACACACAGACACACACAGACACATAGACACACACAGACACATAGACACACACATAGACACACACAGACACACACAGACACATACACATAGACACACACAGACACATACACATAGACACACACAGACACATACACAGACACAGACATACACATAGACACACACAGACATACACAGACACACACAGACAGACACATAGACACACACACACACAGACACAGACAGACACAGACACACACACAGACCGACACAGACTCGGCCACCGCACTACCGGAGTCTAGTCCAGGTGCAGTGCAGCAGCGGCAGCCGCGTCCGCCATGCGCCCCGTCGCCTCCTCCCCGCGTCCCCTCGTCACACTCTGCGCTCTCCTGGCACTGCTGCCCGCGGTCTCCTACCCCTCCCCCTGCGAGGACCCCCTGCCGGGGTCCAGGGGCTCGAGCGGGGACCCCGCGGGGGACTCTGCGGGGTCTGGGGGGCCCAGAGGGGTCCCCTTCCCGTGCCCGGCGGAGGCCACGAACCTCGCTCGCTTCGCGTCCCTCAGCGTGGAGCCCCCCGGCATCACTTGCGGCACGCCGGCGGAGACGTTCTGTGCCATGGTGGGTGGGTGTGGGTGGGTGGGTGTGGGTGGGTGGGTGGGTGTGGGTGGGTGGGTGGGTGTGTGTGAGTGGGTGGGTGGGTGAGTGAGTGGGTGGGTGAGTGAGTGGGTGAGTGTGTATGGGTGGGTGTGTGAGTTTGAGTGGATGGGTGAGTGGGTGGGTGAATGAGTGAGTGGGTGAATGAGTGAGTGGGTGAGTGGATGAATGAGTGAGTGATTTAATGAATGTGAGTGGGTGGGTGAGTGAGTGAGCGAGTGGGTGGTTGAGTGAGTGGGTGGGTAAGTGGGTGGGTGAGTGGGTGAATGAGTGAGTGGGTAAGTGGGTGAATGAGTGAGTGGGTGTGTGTGAGTGGGTGTGAGTGGGTGTGAGTGTGAGTGGGTGAGTGGGTGAATGAGTGAGTGGGTGAATGAGTGAGTGAGTGAATTAATGACTGTGAGTGGGTGGGTGAGTGAATGAGTGTGAGTGGGTGGGTGGGTGAGTGAGTGAGTGGGTGAGTGGGTGAGTGAGTGGGTGAGTGGGTGAATGAGTGAGTGGGTGAGTGGGTGAATGAGTGAGTGGATGAATGAGTGAGTGGGTGAATGAGTGTGAGTGAGTGAATTAATGAATGTGAGTGGGTGGGTGAGTGTGTGAGTGAGTGGGTGGGTGGGTGAGTGAGTGAGTGGGTGGGTGGGTGAGTGGGTGGGTGTTTGAGTGAGTGGGTGGGTGGGGTGGGTGGGGAGTGGGTGAATGAGTGTGAGTGGGTGGGTGAGTGGGTGGGTGAGTGAGTGGGTGGGTGGGTGAGTGGGTGGGTGGGTGAGTGGGTGGGTGGGTGAGTGGGTAGGTGGGTGGGTGGGTGAGTGAGTGGGTGGGTGGGTGGGTGAGTGAGTGAGTGGGTGGGTGAGTGAGTGGGTGGGTGAGTGAGTGAGTGGGTGAGTGGGTGGGTGAGTGGGTGGGTGGGTGAGTGGGTAGGTGGGTGGGTGGGTGAGTGAGTGAGTGGGTGGGTGGGTGGGTGAGTGAGTGAGTGGGTGGGTGAGTGAGTGGGTGGGTGAGTGAGTGAGTGGGTGAGTGGGTGGGTGAGTGAGTGAGTGGGTGGGTGAGTGAGTGAGTGGGTGGGTGGGTGAGTGGGTGAGTGAGTGGGTGGGTGAGTGGGGAGTGTCAGTGCAGCGGTTAGTGCGCTGCGTCACCGTTGGCCATGAGCGAGAATCGAACTCGAGTCGCCTGAGGTCGTAGCGCAGTTCTAACCGCTCCACCTCTACCCCCCTCTCACCCTATCACCCTCTAACCCCCCCCCGCCCCGCCCATCGCATGCGAGAGGGCAGGAGAACCCCTACCTGTGCGACGAGTGCGACGCGCAGACGCCGGAGTTGTCCCACCCGCCCGAGCTGATGACAGACTCGGGCCCGCGCGCCTCCGCCACGCGCTGGCAGAGCGCCACGTGGCTCCGGCGCGAGCCCCCGGCCCCGCTGCGCGCCACCGTGCGCCTCTCGTGGGGCGGGGTGCCCGTGGAGTTGGCGGGCGACCTCGTGGTGGCGTTCGGCGCTCGGCGGCCACCGCCCGACGCGATGCTCGTGGAGCGATCGCGCGACCACGGGCGCACGTGGCGCCCCTGGCAGCTGCTGGCGAGCGACTGCGCGCGCGCCTTTGGGATGCCCGCGCGTGGCGACGCGCCCATGAACGCCGCCAACGCGCTCCAGGTGGGTGGGTGAGCGGGTGGGTGAGTGGGTGGGTAAGTGAGTGGGTGGGTAAGTGAGTAGGTGAGTGAGTGGGTGGTGCAGTGGGTGAGTGGGTGGTTGAGTGGGTGAGCGGGTGGGTGAGTGGGTGGTGCAGTGAGTAGGTGAGTGAGTGGGTGGTGCAGTGGGTGGGTGGGTGAGTGAGTGAGTGAGTGGGTGGTTCGGTTGAGTGGGTGGGTGGGTGGTTGGTTGAGTGGGTGGGTGGGTGGGTGAGCGGGTGAGTGAGTGGGTGGGTGAGTCGCTGGGTGAGTGAGTGGGTGAGTGAGTGGGTCGATGGGTGAGTGAGTGACGGATGTGTGTGTGTGTGTGACAGGGGTGTGTGCATGATGGGTTGAGATCCGATTGGGTTATTTGGCGAGTGAGTGGGTGGGTGAGTGAGGGTTGTGCGCGTGTGCCAGTTTGAATCATTCAAGCATGGCCTGCCTACGATCCACCATGGGTGTAACCCCGCTGTTCGCCCGGCAGGTGTTCTGCACGGAGCGCTACTCCCAGACCTATGGTTTGGCACGGGGCGAGCGGGTGGCGCGGATCGAGATGGAGGAACGCATCGCCCTGCTGGGGTCCCTCCGATCCCGCGGGGCCCCCGAGGGCCCCGGCAGCCCGGGCCCCAGGGCCCTGCGCGAATTCCTCACGGCCACGGACGTGCGGATACAGCTGCTGGAGCCGTCGACGGGCGACACGGGCGTCGACGCGGAGTCACTGTCCAAGTACTTCTACTCCATCGCGGACATCGCCGTGCCGGGCCGCTGTGCCTGCCCCCGGCCCCAGGGGCCCCCCGCGGAGCAAGGACCCCCCAGGGGGGCCGAGAAACCCCACATCCGTTACGCCGGGCCGGATCGGCCACACGCCGGATTGGGCGTCCGTCACCACGGAGCGAACGTCCATCACGCCGGAGCAGCTTTTCAAGGCGCTGGATCGGATCGGCGTGAGGCTGGACTGGATCTCCATGACGTTGGAACGGATGTTCAAAGCACTGGGCCAGATGTCCACGACACTGGATTGGATATCCATTACGCTGGACCGGATCGAGATGACACTGGACCAGATGTCCATCACTCTGGACCAGATGTCCATCAGTCTGGACCAGATGTCCATCACTCTGGACCAGATGTCCATCACACTGGACCAGATGGCCATCACTCTGGACCAGATGGCCATCACTCTGGACCAGATCAACATGACACTGGACCAGATGTCCATCACTCTGGACCAGATGTCCATCACTCTGGACCAGATCGACATGACACTGGACCAGATGTCCATCACTCTGGACCAGATGTCCATCGCACTGGACCAGATCGACATGACACTGGACCAGATCGACATGACACTGGACCAGATGTCCATCACTCTGGACCAGATGTCCATCGCACTGGACCAGATCGACATGACACTGGACCAGATGTCCATCACTCTGGACCAGATGTCCATCGCACTGGACCAGATCGACATGACACTGGACCAGATCGACATGACACTGGACCAGATGTCCATCACTCTGGACCAGATGTCCATCGCACTGGACCAGATCGACATGACACTGGACCAGATGTCCATCACTCTGGACCAGATGTCCATCACTCTGGACCAGATGTCCATCACTCTGGACCAGATCGACATGACACTGGACCAGATGTCCATCACTCTGGACCAGATCGACATGACACTGGACCAGATGTCGATCACTCTGGACCAGATGTTCATCGCACTGGACCAGATCGAGATGACACTGGACCAGATGTCCATCACTCTGGACCAGATGTCCATCGCACTGGACCAGATGTCCATCACCCTGGACCAGATCTCCATCACGCGGAACCGGATCACCATGACACCGGACCGGATCTTTATAACACTGGGCCGGATGTCCACTACACCGGACCGGATATTTATGACACCAGACCAGATCAACAGCCTGGATTGCCGACCTCTCCCATCGAACCCGCTCCTCTTCCTGCAATCTCCTTCAGTAACATCACGGGTGAGGGTGCAAGTGTGGTCTGTGCCAGTATGATGGTGGTGCCAGTCTGACGGTGGTGCCAGTCTGATGGTGATGCTAGTGTGACGGTGGTGATGGTGGTGACAGTGTGATGGTGGTACTAGTGTGACGGTGGTGCCAGTCTGACGGTGGTGCTAGTGTGATGGTGGTGCCAGTCTAATGGTGGTGATGGTGGTGCTAGTGTGATGGTGGTGCTAGTCTGATGGTGGTGCTAGTGTGATGGTGGTGCCAGTGTGATGGTGGTGCCAGTCTGATGGTGGTGATGGTGGTGCCAGTCTGATGGTGGTGCTAGTGTGATGGTGGTGCCAGTCTGACGGTGGTGCCAGTGTGATGGTGGTGCCAGTGTGATGGTGGTGCCAGTCTGATGGTGGTGATGGTGGTGCCAGTCTGATGGTGGTGATGGTGGTGCCAGTCTGATGGTGGTGCTAGTGTGATGGTGGTGCCAGTGTGACGGTGGTGGCAGCTCGAGGTGAGTTTTGTCTGCGCAGGGTGCCAGTCTGATGGTGGTGATGGTGGTGCTAGTGTGAGGGTGGTGCTAGTGTGAGGGTGGTGATGGTAGTGCTAGTGTGAGGGTGGTGCTAGTGTGACGGTGGTGCCAGTGTGATGGTGGTGATGGTGGTGCCAGTCTGATGGTGGTTGATGGTGGTGCTAGTGTGAGGGTGGTGCTAGTGTGAGGGTGGTGATGGTGGTGCCAGTCTGATGGTGGTTGATGGTGGTGCTAGTGTGAGGGTGGTGCTAGTGTGAGGGTGGTGATGGTGGTGCTAGTGTGAGGGTGGTGCTAGTGTGGTGATGGTGGTGCCAGTGTGATGGTGGTGGCAGTGTGACGGTGGTGCCAGTCTGATGGTGGTGCTAGTGTGAGGGTGGTGCCAGTGTGATGGTGGTGCCAGTGTGATGGTGGTGATGGTGGTGCCAGTCTGATGGTGGTGATGGTGGTGCTAGTGTGAGGGTGGTGATGGTGGTGCCAGTCTGATGGTGGTGATGGTGGTGCTAGTGTGAGGGTGGTGATGGTGGTGCTAGTGTGAGGGTGGTGCTAGTGTGGTGATGGTGATGGTGGTGCCAGTCTGATGGTGGTGATGGTGGTGCTAGTGTGAGGGTGGTGCTAGTGTGGTGATGGTGATGGTGGTGCCAGTCTGATGGTGGTGATGGTGGTGCCAGTGTGATGGTGGTGGCAGTGTGACGGGGGTGGCAGCTCGAGGTGAGTTTTGTCTGCGCAGGGTGCCAGTGCCACGGCCACTCGCGGCGCTGCGTGCCCGTGGGCGTGCGGGCGCTCGCCTGCCTCAGCTGCCGGCACGACACGTGGGGGCCGCGCTGCCAGCGCTGCCGCCCGGGATACCACCGCAACGCCAGCGCTCGCCTGCACGAGCCCACGGCGTGCCGCAGTGAGGCCGGCACTCACACACACACGCACTCACACACACTCACACACACACTCACATGCACACACACTCACATGCACACACTCACACGCACACTCACACACATTCACACACACTCACACACTCACTCACATGCACACACACTCACACGCACTCACACGCACTCACACACACTCACACACTCACACACACTCACTCACACACACTCACACATACTCACACACACTCACACTCGCATGCACACACACTCACTCACACACACTCACATGCACACACACACTCACACACACTTACGCGTACTCACACACTCTCATGCGCACTCCCACGCGCACACACTCACGCGCACTCACGCTCATGCACACACAATCACAACAACAACAACCGCCATTCGCCACTAAGTAGCGGTGACGTCACCACGACGCTTGTGCCAGGCTATGTGCACCCTGAGGCCACGTGAAGTGTCGAACGCCCGCTGGCAGGAGGTCACGGGGCAGACCCAGGTGCCACGGGTCGACTGACTGAGATGACTGGCTGATGCACCACCTGTGCCCCCTACTGTGCCAACCTGCTGTGCTTTAGCCACCCGGCGCTCCGCTCGTTGTTGTGAGCGTCGCTCCTCCGCCCTCCGTTGTTGTTGGAGGGCGACTACCTCCAACTGCCCAGTAGCGTCCTTCACGAGCCTCCTCCACAGAGGCCGATCTTGACACCGCTGGTACCAGTCATCGGCAAGTCCACTCAGCTCCACGTCCTCCTGTACCACATCACTCCATCTCTTCTCTAGCCCGTGCCGCGCCCGCTTAGCCCCCTCAATCCGGCCGAACAAAAGCTGTTTCGGCATGCGGTGGCTGGGCATGCGGGCTACATTACCCAGCCATCGCAGCCTTGCCTGCCGGAGGAGCTCACCGATGGGACCTTGCCCAGATCTTTCAAGTATTTGTGAGCTCCTCACACAATCCAGTCTGGTTAAACCCAGGATGAATCGTAGGCAGGCCAGCCTAAATGTTTCTAACCGGCGAAGATGTTCCATTAGGGGGGTCCACGTTTCGCAAGCGTATGGAAGGGAGGGAATGACCGTGGCCGAGAAGACCAGAAGCTTAGTGCGGAGCGACAGACCAGGTAGCTTCCACACAGCGTTACGCAACCGATGAAAAGATATTGCCGCTCGACTGATTCGGAGTGAGACCTCTGCAGTTAAACTGGAGCCAGTCATAAGCACACTGCCCAGGTATGGGAAACTCTCCACTCTCTCCACAACTGCCCCATCACCGATTGGGGTGGAGTGTCCGATGGTACAAAATACCCAGGCAGGTGCTTAGTTTTAGTGGGGCTGATGGTAAGGCCCCACCTCTTAGTGGCACGCTCCAGTCTCAGCAGCAGCGCCTCCAACTCCTCCTCTGAATGAGCAGCTATTACCAAATCATCAGTATACATAACGTGGTTGAGCAATAGGGAGCCATCCCTTGACCGCACCCGGGCATCGATCAGCCTCCCATTATATCTGTACCATATGGAGATTCCCCCGATACAGCTATTGAAGGCTTCACGAACTACGTGGTCAAAATAGATGTTAAATAATGTGGGAGCCAGAGGACATCCCTGTCGCACCCCAAGGTGTACAAAGAATGGCTCTGACTCCCGGCCACGTAGTTTTACCCGGGCCCGCTCACCATCATGAAGGTCCTTAATGATCGTGAGCAGAGTGTCAGGTACTCCAAAAGCACGAAGAACAACCCAGAGCCCAGCCCTACTGATGGTATCATAGGCCTTGACCAGGTCAATAAAGCAGAGATGTAGGTCTTGTTGGAATTCCCTACACCTCTGCTGTAGCAGACGGACAGAAAATATGGCATCTGTGCAGGACCGCCCTTTCCTGAAACCGCATTGGGGCTCCGCAAGCCTCTCCTCAGCGTGCCTGGCAAGGCGATGCTGAATAATCCTTGCCAGGACCTTTCCCGGCACACTGAGGAGTGAGATGCCCCTGTAGTTGTTACAGTCTGTGCGGTTCCCCTTCTTAAAAAGGGGGACCACCAGGGCATCCTTACAATCCTGCGGAATCCGTCCAGTGGTCCAGACCGTTGTTATGATGTCATATAGGGCAGTCTGTGCACAAACGCCACCCTCCCTCAGCATTTCGCTTGGGAGATCATCTCTGCCCGCTGCCTTTCCTGGTCTCAGACTCCGGATTGCCTTCAGTACTTCCTCAACAGATGGCACCTCAGCCAGCCACTCACAGGGGGTGACTTCTTCCAATATTTGAGGCACCGCAGCCTCAGCAGGGTCATCCTCACTTTGTGCCACGATGTTTTCCTGGCTGACGGATTTTCCCTCCCCCAGGACCTCACAGAAACGCTCAGCAAATCGGCAAACCTGTTCCTGAGGGTCGGAGATTGGATCACCGTTTTTTCCCCTAATGATGGTAATAGGTGTGGCGCTGTTGGTTGCTTTTTTGATGGAGTTAAATAGAGATTTGTGATCACGGGCCACTGAGACAGACTCCATCTCCTCAGCAACCCGCGACCACCAACCATCCTTGCAGCGCCTCACGGCTCTCCGAACCTCCGAGCGAAGGCTGCGGTAAGCCTCCTCATTCTCTGACGTGGGATTCTGTAGCCGATGACAGTGGGCCTGTCGCTTTTTCTCAACCATCCTGAACACCTCCTCTGTCAGCCAGGGTCTCTGGGGAGGTCTGGACCGCGTACCCAAAACAGCCATTGCAGCTGCATGAGTCACAGTCCTAAACCTCGCCCATTTACCCTCGACATCAGGAGGAGTCGGGGACGATGCCAATCCCAGCTGCAAGCGATGTGAAATTCTCGCTTGCAACTTTAATCAGATAACTGAGACCAGGCCACTTTAGGTTGGAATGGGGTCCTGGGTGTACACCCACCACCGGAGTGGAAGAATGGCAGGCGCATCTTACAGATGACTAGACGATGGTCAGAGGGCAAATCAGCTCCACGGTAGGTCCTGGTGTCAAGCACATGGGCTCGCATCCGCTGGTCCGTCACTATGTAGTCCAGCAGATGTTCTTGCTTGGACCCGGCATTTATCCATGATGTTGTGTGGATGCGCCGATGCCGGAACAGCGTGTTGGTAATTACAAGCCCATGGGCTGCACAAAAATCTAGCAGCCTCCAACCGTTGTTATTGAGCTGGTCTGGCCCATGCCCTCCAATCACTGTAGACCAGGTGCCAGTATCATGACCAACTCGGGCATTGAAGTCACCCAACATGATGACTCTATCCCGAGGGGCCACTTTAGCCAGCACCTGTGACAGGAGGTCATAGAAGGCATCTGACTCATCGGCTTTGCCTGCATCCCTCCACGGATGTTCATCTCCGGTGGGGGTATAAGTAACCACGACCACCATTCCTCGCCTCCGGTTGATGGGAAGGTGAGCCCAAAGTAGCCTGGGGCTTACAGCTTCCCACACCTCACCGCCACGCTCCCACGCCCCCTTCATTCTTTTGTTCAAAAGAAGAGCCACACCCTGTTGTTTGGCAGTCTGCTGCCCCGAGTAGATGACTGTCCACCTCTTATGGTGTCAGGAGCCAGAGCCGGTCCACCGGACCTCCTGAATGCCACAGAGATCCAGGCGGTACCGGTCCAGCTCCCGACAGAGGAGTGGCAGCCTCTCCTCCGCAGTGAGCGTTCGAACATTCCACGTGGCCACCCGTAGTGGCTTTTCGTTGTTTCTGGAGGAGCCCCGAGGGTAGATATTCAATCTCCTGGCTCCGCCAATTGGGGTTTGGCCAGGAGACGTCATAGACGCCTGGCCCCCCGGGGCCTCCGGCACAAGCTTATTAGTTATATATTTCAGTTTAACTCGTGGTTTAGTGGTAATTAATTGAAGGTGGAGGGGTTACCAGCCCCTCGCACCCGTCCAGAGCCCCCGTTTAGCCCCTGTGGTGGACACATATGCCATGACGGGAGGAGCCAATCAAAATTGGACCTCCCCCCACAGCACTGTCCACGACAGAGTTGCCCGTCCGGCACCGCGAGGAGGTAGGGGGTTGTTTTGCCGGACACACACTCACACACACTAACACACACACACACTCACGCGCACTCACGCGTACTCACACACACTCACACACACTCACACACACTCACGCGCGCACTCGCACGCTCACGCGCACTCACGCGCACTCACGCTCATGCACACACACTCACTCACGCGCACTCACGCGCGCACTCCCATGCGCGCACACTCACACACACTTACGCGCACTCACGCGTGCACTGACACACACTCACGCGCACTCACGCGTGCACAAAGACAAAACAAAGATCCCCCATATAGCCTTAACAGACTGTAGGGGCAAGTGCTGTTAGCGAGCACCTATGAAGGCCGGAACGGTACACGAGGGGGTGGGTGGCCAGCAACACGCCCGACCGCCTTTGTCTCCCTAGTGGCAATGTTTACACACCGCACCAGGTACTCATTTGAGGCTGAGTCGACCTAGGGGAGGCCCGGGACCGGTTCAGATAATCGTCATTGGTGTTGGCCGTGAGCGGGAATCGAACTCACGCTCACACACACTCACGCGTGCACACACACTCACGCGTGCACTCACACACACTCACACACACTCACACACACTTTCACACACACTCACACACACTTTCACACACACTCACACACACTCACACACACTCACGCATACTCACACACACTCACGCACACTCACACACACTCACACACACTCACGCACCTCACACACACTCACACACACTCACACACACTCACACACACTCACGCACCTCACACACACTCACGCAAACTCACACACACTCACACACACTCACACACACTCACACACACTCACACACTCCCCCCCTACTACCCTGTTGGGCTGCAGGCTGTCAGTGCGAGCCGCTGGGCTCGCTGCACCCGCGCTGCGACGCCGCTGGGCAGTGCTCCTGCCTCCCGGGAGCCACGGGCCTCACCTGCAGCCGCTGCCTGCCCGGCTTCCACTGGCACGGGGGCTGCCGAGGTGCGCGTGTGGTGACTCGTAGAGCACGGACTCACGTGAACCCATACCCTCACGTGAACCCATACCCTCACGTGAACCCATACCCTCACGTGAACCCATACCCTCACGTGAACCCATACCCTCACGTGAACCCATATCCTCACGTGAACCCATACCCTCACGTGAACACATACCCTCACGTGAACCCATACCCTCACGTGAACCCATACCCTCACGTGAACCCATACCCTCACGTGAACCCATATCCTTACGTGAACCCATACCCTCACGTGAACACATACCCTCACGTGAACACATACCCTCATGTGAACCCATACCCTCACGTGAACCCAATCTCACGTGAACCCATACCCTCACGTGAACCCATACCCTCACGTGAACCCATACCCCCACGTTAACCCATACCCTCACGTGAACACATACCCTCACGTGAACACATACCCTCATGTGAACCCATACCCTCACGTGAACCCATACCCTCACGTGAACCCAATCTCACGTGAACCTATACCCTCACGTGAACCCATACCCTCACGTGAACCCAAACTCACGTGAGCCCATACCCTCACGTGAACCCATACCCTCACGTGAACCCATACCCTCACGTGAACCTATACCCCCACGTTAACCCATACCCTCACGTGAACACATACCCTCACGTGAACAAATACCCTCATGTGAACCCATACCCTCACGTGAACCCATACCCTCACGTGAACCCATACCCTCACGTGAACACATACCCTCACGTGAACACATACCCTCACGTGAACCTATACCCTCACGTGAACCCATACCCTCACGTGAACCCAAACTCACGTGAACACATACCCTCACGTGAACCCAAACTCACGTGAACCCATACCCTCACGTGAACCCCTACCGTCACGTGAACCCATACCCTCACGTGAACCCAAACTCACATGAACCCATACCCTCACGTGAACCCATACCCTCACGTGAACCCCTACCCTCACGTGAACCCAAATTCACATGAACCCACACTCACATGAACCCAATCTCACGTGAACCCATACCCTCACGTGAACCCAAACTCACGTTAACCTAAACTCACATGAACCCATACCCACACGTGAACCCAAACTCACGTGAACCCATACCCTCACGTGAACCCAAACTCACGTGAACCCAAACTCACGTGAACCCATACCCTCACGTGAACCCATACCCTCACGTGAACCCAAACTCACGTGAACCCAATCTCACGTGAACCCATACCCTCACGTGAACCTAATCTCACGTGAACCCATACCCTCACGTGAAGCCAATCTCACATGAACCCATACCCTCACGTGAACCTAATCTCACGTGAACCCATACCCTCACGTGAACCCATACCCTCACGTGAACCCTTCTCACATGAACCCATACCCTCATGTGAACCCAAACTCACGTGAACCCAATCTCACATGTACCCATACCCTCACGTGAGCCCAATCTCACGTGAACCCAAATTCACGTGAATTCAGACTCACATGAACCCATACCCTCACATGAACCCATACCTTCGTGTGTTTGCGGGCTGTGTTTCCAGGCATAGTAGTTTCAGGCCAGGGCGGTCCTGCATGGATGCCATATTCTCTGTCCATCTACTACAGCAGAGGTGTAGGGGATTCCAACAAAACCTACATCTCTGCTTTATTGACCTGGTCAAGGCCTATCATACCATCAGTAGGCCTGGACTCTGGGTCGTTCTTCGTGCTTTTGGAGTACCTGACCCTCTGCTCACGATCATTAAGGACCTTCATGATGGTGAGCGGGCCCGGGTAAAACTACGTGGCCGGGAGTCAGAGCCATTCCCTGTACACCTTGGGGTGCGACAGGGATGTCCTCTGGCTCCCACATTATTTAACATCTATTTTGACCACGTAGTTCATGAAGCCTGCAATAGCTGTACTGGGGGAATCTCCATATGGTACAGATATAATGGGAGGCTGATCGACGCCCGGGTGCGATCAAGGGATGGCTCCCTATTGCTCAACCACGTTATGTATGCTGATGATTTGGTAATAGCTGCACATTCGGAGGAGGAGTTGGAGACGCTGTTGCTGAGACTGGAGCGTGCCACTAAGAGGTGGGGCCTTACCACCAGCCCCACCAAAACTAAGCACCTGCCTGGGTATTTTGTACCATCGGACACTCCACCCCCACAACTCCCAATCGGTGATGGGGCAGTTGTGGAGAGAGTGGAGAGTTTCCCATACCTGGGCAGTGTGCTTATGACTGGCTCCAGTTTAACAGCAGAGGTCTCACTCCGAATCAGTCGAGCGGCAATATCTTTTCATCGGTTGCGTAACGCTGTGTGGAAGCTACCTGGTCTGTCGCTCCGCACTAAGCTTCAGGTCTTCTCGGCCACGGGCATTCCCTCCCTTCTCTACGCTTGCGAAACGTGGACCCCCCTAATGGAACATCTTCGCCGGTTAGAAACATTTAGGCTGGCCTGCCTACGATCCATCCTGGGTTTAACCAGACTGGATTGTGTGAGGAGCTCACAAATCCTTGAAAGATCTGGGCACGGTCCCATCGGTGAGCTCCTCCGGCGGGCAAGACTGCGATGGCTGGGTCATGTAGCCCGCATGCCCAGCCACCGCATGCCGAAACAGCTTTTGTTCGGCCGGATTGAGGGGGCTAAGCGGGCGCGGCACGGGCTAGAGAAGAGATGGAGTGATGTGGTACAGGAGGACGTGGAGCTGAGTGGACTTGCCGATGACTGATACCAGCGGTGTCAAGATCGGCCTCTGTGGAGGAGGCTCGTGAAGGACGCTACTGGGCAGTTGGAGGTAGTCGCCCTCCAACAACAACGGAGGGCGGAGGAGCGACGCTCAGAACAACGAGCGGAGCGCCGGATGGCTAAAGCGCAGCAGGTTGGCACAGTAGGGGGCACAGGTGGTGCATCAGCCAGTCATCTCAGTCAGTCGACCCGTGGCACCTGGGTCTGCCCCGTGACCACCTGCCAGCGGGCGTTCGACACTTCACGTGGCCTCAGGGTGCACATAGCCTAGCACAAGCGTTGTGGTGACGTCACCGCCACTTAGTGGCGAATGGCGGTTGTTGTTGTTGTTGTGTGCCTGAGTATGTGTGTGCCTGTGTGTGTGTGCATGTGTGTGTGTGTGCCTGTGTGTGTGCCAGCCAATCTGTGCGACGACGCCCTCCTGCGTTGCCACAACGGCGGCGTCTGCCTCGAGCACAGTCGCTGTCTGTGCCCACCTCGCTACGCGGGCCCCCACTGCCAGCGGGAGCTGTGCCCCCCCGGGGGCATCGGGGTGCCCGAGGGGCACGGCGAGGGCAGGCGACCCAGGGGGCCCAGCGGGGTCTGTGGCAGCCGGGCCACCAGCTGGCAGCGGATCCCCTCTACGCCAACGGCGGCGGCGGTGGGGGCGGTGGCGGCGGTGGTGGTGGCGGCGATGGGGGGTCCGATGCCCCCCCTGCAAGGGGGTCTATAGGGGGTTCGGCAGAAGGGGGCGAGGGTGACCGGCACGGTGACCCCTGGAGATCGGCAACAGCTCGCTGGGGTCAACGCGGCACTGCTGGCGGAGGAGGCGTCACCGGAGGGAGCTGTGGAGGAGTTGGACTCCGTCTGCCCTGCCGCGTTGCGCAGCAATTGCGGGGGAGGAGGGGGGAGGAGGAGGGGGGGAGGAGGAGGGGGGAGGAGGAGATGGAGGAGGGGGGAGGAGGAGATGGGGGAGGAGGAGGGGGGGAGGAGGAGATGGAGGAGGGGGAGGGGGGAGGAGGAGATGGGGGAGGAGGAGGAGGAGGAGGGGAGAGAAGGAGTTGGGGGAGGAGGAGGAGGGGGGAGGAGGAGATGGGGGAGGAGGAGGAGGGGGGAGATGAGATGGAGGAGGAGGAGGAGGAGGAGGAGGAGGAGGAGGAGGAGGGAGAAGGAGTTGAGGGAGGAGGAGGAGGGGGGAGGAGGAGGAGGAGGAGGGAGAAGGAGTTGGAGTAGGAGGAGGAGGAGGGGGGGATGAGATGAAGGAGGAGGAGATGGGGGAGGAGGAGGGGGGGATGAGATGGAGGAGGAGGGGGGGGGGGGAGGAGATGGGGGGAGGAGGAGGAGGGGGGAGGAGGAGTTGGGGGAGGAGGGAGGAGGAGATGGGGGAGGAGGGGGGAGGAGGAGATGGGGGATGAGATGGGGGAGGGGGAGGAGGAGATGGGAGGAGGAGGTGGGGATGAGATGGGGGAGGAGGAGGAGGAGGAGGGGGGGAGGAGGAGATGGGGGATGAGATGGGGGAGGAGGAGGACGAGCTAACTACACTCCAGCCCACCACCACCACCACACGCGAACTGTGACTAACCGCGATGCACTGTATGCACTGTATGCACGATTACCTTCTTTGGCACCGTACGTCGCCTCACCGTGCTGATCGGAAGGGCGCGGGAGGGGAGGCGGTAAAGACAAGAAACGAAACGCAAAAATCTGTTCTGGAGAATTGAGTTTGTTAACCTGGATGATAATGATGATGTTGGTGATTTAACCGTGCATAGTTCCCCAGCGACTTTATGATATCGGAAGGAGGAGCGTTCCAGACGGCCACAGAAGCGCGCGTGAGAGTGCCGTGCGATGATGATGCGGTGATTGCCTCTGTTCAATGGCTCTAAAGGACTGCTTTCGTTATTGAACTCGGTCAGGCCCCACTGAGCTGTGTGGCTCTTTGTCAGAAGCGACCTGGCCACAAATGATCGCTCAACGAAGTGGCTTATCACGTGGACATGGATCGCATACTCTGAACGCGTGATGTCGTTTCTAAATGTGGAGGGAAAGCCCAGAGAGAGAGAGAGACACGCAGACTCCACATATACAGCAGCAGCAGCAGGCGTCACGGTGGGGATAGAGCCCACGACCTCCTGTGTACCAGGAGAGGGAGTCAACATCGCCTAGCCCCAGAGAGAGAGATACACGCAGACTCCACATATACAGCAGCAGCAGCAGGCGTCACGGTGGGGATAGAGCCCACGACCTCCTGTGTACCAGGAGAGGGAGTCAACATCGCCTAGCCCCAGAGAGAGAGAGAGAGACGCAGACTCCACATATACAGCAGCAGCAGCAGCAGGCGTCACGGTGGGGATAGAGCCCACGACCTCCTGTGCACCAGGAGAGGGAGTCAACATCGCCTAGCCCCAGCAAGGTGTCGCCACTCGTGTGCAGAGTTGAAGAAGTCGCGCGCCGTGATTGTCGCGCCCGGAGATGGAACAAAGACAGAAGGGCGGGAGCTGCGGGGGGTGGGGGCTGAGGGGTGGGGGCTGAGGGAGGTGGGGGCTGCGGGGGGTGGTGGCTGCGGGGGGTGGGGGCTGAGGGGTGGGGGCTGAGGGGGTGGGGGCTGAGGGGGTGGCGGCTGAGGGGACTGTAGGGGGGTGGGAGCTGCGGGGGCTGGGGAGGCTGAGGGGGGGGGGCTACGGGGGGAATGAGGAGGGGGTTCCCGGTCGTTGGGATTAGCCCCGCGTCTTAGGATTAATGGGCGCGTCTTGCAAGATGTTCTTCTCGTCTCGGATCGCCAAGCGCGCTGACCGTGGCCCCGCCGCTCCCCACGACACCACAAAGACAAATAGCCCCCCCCCCCCCCCCCCCCCCCCCCCCCCCCCACGTGTTACAACGTCGACTTTCCCGACCGATATTTCTCATTAAAGCGGGGGGTGAGGATTTTTTCTTGGGTTAGATCGCGTAAATAGACTAAAAGGAACATCACGTAGACATCAAATACTCACAAACCTTGGCAGTTGGACAACATGCTTGCCAACAAAGGACGCTCGATTGATTTCGATGAGGTTGATGTGATTGTGTGAAACTAAAACTAATTACAACGATCCGAGACTAATGAGACAACCGATTTGAATTGAGAGAATGAATTTTAACCGCTCTGACAGCTGCATGCTTCGTGCTGCTTATGACGTCATACACGTTCCAATTCCGTGCCTTGTTAAGACGTCGTGTACTGATTTATAACTGATCTGTTCCACGTGACCACGATCCATTGTTACGTGCTACAACAACCCGCCCCCTCTCCCGCGGGAGAACGTCACCCCCGGGAGAACGTCATCCGCGGGAGAACGTCACCCCCGGGAGAACGTCATCCGCGGGAGAACGTCACCCGCGGGAGAACGTCACCCGGCTCGTCGAGTCGCGAAGAAGCGCGCGTGGAGCGCTTCCCGCCCTGCACAGCGGCAGCCTCGTTAATGGTCACGTGGTGTTGACACGTGACTAAACACGACCAAGTGTCGGGTGGTGGTGGGTTAACGAGACATACTCACGCGATCTTACACAACAACTAAAACGTTATTATGAATCCCCCGTGTAGCCTGCAACAGGCTGCAAGGGCAAGTGCTGTTAGCGAGTAGCACCTATGAAGGACGGAATGGCACGCCCGACCGCCTTTGTTTCTCTAGTGGCGAAGTTTACACGCCGCACCAAGTACTCATTTGAGGCTAAGTCGACCTAGGGGAGGCCCAGGACCGGTTCAGATCATCATCGCTGGTATTGGTGGCCGTTAGGGGGAATGAAACTCGGGTCGCCGGGTTCTTAACGCAGCGAGCTGACCGCTACATTACGGCGCCCCCAGTGGCTATGTACACAACACATACACACATACACACACACATACATACACACATTCACACATACACACATACACACACATACATACACACAGGGACACACAACATCAACAACAACAACCGCCATTCGCCACTAAGTGGCGGTGACGTCACCACGACGCTTGTGCCAGGCTATGTGCACCCTGAGGCCACGTGAAGTGTCGAACGCCCCCTGGCAGGAGGTCACGGGGCAGACCCAGGTGCCACGGGTCGACTGACTGAGATGACTGGCTGATGCACCACCTGTGCCCCCTACTGTGCCAACCTGCTGTGCTTTAGCCACCCGGCGCTCTGCTCGTTGTTCTGAGCGTCGCTCCTCCGCCCTCCGTTGTTGTTGGTGGGCGACTACCTCCAACTGCCCAGTAGCATCCTTCACGATCCTCCTCCACAGAGGCCGATCTTGACACCGCTGGTACCAGTCATCGGCAAGTCCACTCAGCTCCACGTCCTCCTGTACCGCATCACTCCATCTCTTCTCTAGCCCGTGCCGCGCCTGCTTAGCCCCCTCAATCCGGCCGAACAAAAGATGTTTTGGCATGCGGTGGCTGGGCATGCGGGCTACATGGCCCAGCCATCGCAGCCTTGCCTGCCGGAGGAGCTCACCGATGGGACCTTGCCCAGATCTTTCAAGGATTTGTGAGCTCCTCACACAATCCAGTCTGGTTAAACCCAGGATGGATCGTAGGCAGGCCAGCCTAAATGTTTCTAACCGGCGAAGATGTTCCATTAGGGGGGTCCACGTTTCGCAAGCGTAGAGAAGGGAGAGAATGACCGTGGCCGAGAAGACCTGAAGCTTAGTGCGGAGCGACAGACCAGGTAGCTTCCACACAGCGTTACGCAACCGATGAAAAGATATTGCCGCTCGACTGATTCGGAGTGAGACCCCTGCTGTTAAACTGGAGCCAGTCATAAGCACACTGCCCAGGTATGGGAAACTCTCCACTCTCTCCACAACTGCCCCATCACCGATTGGGAGTTGTGGGGGTGGAGTGTCCGATGGTACAAAATACCCAGGCAGGTGCTTAGTTTTGGTGGGGCTGATGGTAAGGCCCCACCTCTTAGTGGCACGCTCCAGTCTCAGCAGCAGCGTCTGCAACTCCTCCTCTGACTGAGCAGCTATTACCAAATCATCAGCATACATAACGTGGTTGAGCAATAGGGACGGTTTTTATTGCTCATCCGTCCGGCACCGCACACATTCACACATACACACATACACACACACACACATACACACATACACATACACACATACACATACACACATACACATACACACACATACATACACACATACACACACATACACACACATACACACACATACATACACACACACATACACACACATACATACACACACATACATACACACATACATACATACACATACATACACACACATTCACACATACACACACATACATACACACACATCCATACACACATACAACAACAACCGCCATTCGCCACTAAGTGGCGGTGACGTCACCACGACGCTTGTGCCAGGCTATGTGCACCCTGAGGCCACGTGAAGTGTCGAACGCCCGCTGGCAGGAGGTCACGGGGCAGACCCAGGTGCCACGGGTCGACTGACTAAGATGACTGGCTGATGCACCACCTGTGCCCCCTACTGTGCCAACCTGCTGTGCTTTAGCCACCCGGCGCTCCGCTCGCTGTTGTGAGCGTCGCTCCTCCGCCCTCCGTTGTTGTTGGAGGGCGACTGCCTCCAACTGCCCAGTAGCATCCTTCACGAGCCTCCTCCACAGAGGCCGATCTTGACACC